ATGTAACGATTTTGCAACCACTCTCTTCCCCCTACCCACCCGCCCTCTTCTGAAACACCCCTCATAACCGCCCCCGTACCCCAACCCCTTCTTTATTATTGTCAGACGGTGCGTGTTGATTGCCACGGAGGAATGTTATTCCACTGAGACGGCAGCACGAAAGAATTATCATCGGTAAACCCCGGCGAGCGGGACTGACCTTGATATTTACACACACCGGAGACATTTGATTATATTAAATGCCGCATTAAAAATCAATATATCATCTTTCGTATTGCCCTCAATGTGGGATAAACAGTCTACCAAGTAAATATAAACACTTATGCTATGAATTTTTCATCAACCGCTGAAATAATATTCAATCAAATCAAAACCATAAAAATGAAAATTTTTCTTCTTTTGAAAGCAAAAAAAAAGCTTCATGCATTCATTCTGTGTGTTACTATCAATGTCTAAATATAGACATTCATGTCATGATTTTTTCATCCATCGATGGGATGTTATTAAATTGAATGAAAATAAGAGCGATTTTTTTAAATGGAAATGAAAGTTTTTTCGTGTGAAGAGAAAAATTCATAGATAAGTTTTTGACGTAACCCCGCATTAATGTAGCCCCCTTTGTTCACCCCGAAAACCATTGAATAATTTAAAAAACCCCCATCCCAACCAATAAATGTCTTACTGTACGTTAGAGTGGAGATTTTTGTGTTTTTGTTCTCTCGGCAGTTGGATACACAATGCGCGATATTCGGTACAAATGGCACGACGGCTCAAAATCTGTCAGCATCGCGAGTGAGGTGGAATTGCCGCAGTTTCGCGTGCTCGGTCACAGGCAGCGAGAGAGAACCATAGGCCTAACCACAGGTACATATAAGCAAGACTAAAGAGAGAATAAGATGCATACAAGCGAGAATGCAAAAGTTGAAAGAGATGAAATAAAAAAAATACATATAGAGATTGTCTCGTACGCTCGTACCTCTCTTTATCACGTCCATCCTGTGTACACTTCACTCTCGCCCCAAAGAGCCACGAGAGAGAGAGAAAAAATAAACTGGCGGGCAAAGAAAACGTGGAGTGAAGAGAAGTGATACGCAAAATATCGCTGACGAAAGAATGAGAATGAGACGATGAAGAAAATGAGAGATAGAGAGAGAGAGAGAGAGAGAGAGAGAGAGATAAAATGCGGAAAAGGACCTCCTCTGGATGGTCCTTCTGGTTGCCTTCACCGATATGTACACACGGATTGAACAGTGTTTTATTTTCCGCACCATTGCACCACTGAGAAATCATCCACCTACTCGTGAATAAATTTTTTTCTATTTCTCTTCCGCACACACGCGTATCCCCGTCCGCGGAGCTTCGGAAAATAATCTCTCGACCGTAAATTCCGTGATTCCACGGAGAAACCAAGAAGCTCTGTGGATTTCCCAGGACGTTTTCCGGTGCTCAGCAAATTTTCTTCCATCTACATTTTTTTTCCATCTGTTTTAAAAGTTTCTGTTTTAAAAGTTTTAAAAGTCGCGGGCCATGAGGAAGACGAACAATTAGTGCAAACAAAAATTTTTATTGTCGTTTGTCTCACAGTTGGTTACAATGTTGAAAATAGTCCAAAGCCTCCAATGTTTGAGCTATGATAATAATTACGAGTTAGTTTTTTGGAATTCGACTCCTACAGAACTAATTTCGTTTTAATGCATTGGAATTTTCAAGTTTCAATAAAAAAAAATCGTAAATTTGTAAATATATAAGAAATCTTTAGCGAATCATTCTTCTAATTATTTTACATGAAATTTTTTATTTAAAAAAAAACAAATTAGCTGTGTCAAAGTAGAATTAAGAAAAACAAACTCGTAATTGTTATTCCACATATTTTTCAAGAATTAAAAAAAAACATTCGTAGCTCAAAAATTGTTTTCAAAATTTAAGCTTCTGCGGGCAAACGGACAACAACAAAAATTTTTTTTGCACCAATTATTCGTTTTCAAGCATATAGAATCGATATTCAACGTATGAAACATCTCCCAATAGCCCACGATTTTTAAAATTCATAGTAAAGCCCCTTAAAGAAAATATAAGAAAAAAATCTTGAACAATTCATTGAATTCAATCGAGCACCGGAGCCCCTCCATTACAATTTTGGCACGTGGCTGTACAATGGGCAAAATTTTATAGAGACAAGAAAAATTTCTCTTGTATAAAGACAAAAGTCTCATTCGGAGTAGAGCGAAAAATTTAGGAATTAAAAAATGTAATAGAAAAAAGGTAAGTCGTGGAGGCCCCCTCGGAGCCTGCGGCGCGCTAATGTGCCAGGTGTGTCCAGAAAGGTATGTACCAACCGCAAGGGGGGGTCTCTCTCTATTTTCAGTCGGATACACGATGAGAGACATCCGGTACAAGTGGAACGAAGGGCCCAACAGCGTCGGTGTCAGCAACGAGGTCTCCCTGCCTCAGTTCAAGGTCCTCGGTCATCGACAGCGGGCGATGGAGATTAGTTTGACCACCGGTAACGTATGATAAATTACCAAAGAAAAAAACAGCGAATTAACTGCCCTCGAATCTCTCATTCTCAATCTCTCCCCTCCCCGACCCCCGCCCCTGACGTTTCCCCGTCCAGAACTAATTTTCCAAATTGACTCACAATAGAGACGTCAAACTCCCCTGAACCATCAAGCGCTGGCCAGCCCAACTCTCCGAATCACCACCATCTGAAGGATTATAGTTTAAAATTAAACGTCTGAAAATGGTCTGTGATTTTGTTTAGGTTCAAATAAAAATCAGGAACATTATTATTAAATTGTTATTCGTGGTTCAATTGGCGAGGTGGAATAGTAAATAAATTTTGATATTAACACCGATGTCTTGAAATGCACAAACTTTTTCACTTAATTTTTTTTCTTTTTAAATCAAAACAAACAAAGTCCTCGAGATGATCGAAACAAACTTCAGAAACAGAATCTATTAAACAAAAATCGCATTACGAATTACTGTCTCGAAATTCAACATTAATTAAAAATTTGAAACATTTCGTGAATTCTTTCAAGATAATGAATTCAATATTCTGTTCCGCAGCGAAACATGGTATTTATATAATTTCTTGGGTGTTGTCACAAGAGAACTCCATTTTGTCTTTCATTTCTCCAATAGTTTGGGACGGGAGTTAAAACGATGTTTCATTGGCCATTTCATATTTTTAGGTACTTCTATTGGGAGTTGTTTGAGAGAGTAGAAATTTTATTGTTCGCCGTGTAAATTGACTCATAGCGGAGACGTCAAACTCTCCCGAAGCATTCAAATTAAAATTCAGAAACACTCTATCTTATATCCCCCAATATAATTATTATAATAACGATGAACGAACGATGAACTCACAATTGTTCAATAATAAGTCTCACAATTGCTCAATATTATTAAAAATACTTGATAGTCACAAATGGAAAATTGGTGGAACTCTGTATTTTGGCCTGACGAAACTAAAACTTAATCTCTACATTACATTTTTCATTCCTCAAAAATTGCGAAAAAATTGGAGAAGGGAGTAGAAGAGATGTTTCATTGGTCATTTCATATTTTTAGATGCTTCTATTTGGAGTTGTTTGAGAGAAAGTGGAAACTTCCTTGTTCGCATTCCAAATAGCCTCGCAACAGAGACGTCAAACTCTCCCGAAGCATCAAGCACTGCCCATCCCCAACTCTCCGAATCACCGCCATCTGAAGTTTACAATTTCCTCTATCCCACTATTTCGGTTTATACTTGACGAAATAGGTGTTGCCCGGAAACACTAAATTTCCGGCCCCTGAAATTGATGAGTTTATCAGTGGATGATAGCCGGCCAAGCCCCCGAGGCGGTATCAATACCCGCCACTGGCAGATGCCATCGATTCCGGAGAGAAAAAAATCCCTCATTACAACTCTCCTTTTGTTACAATTCCCTTCATCACTACTCTTTTTTTTAATTATCTTCACTCCGAAAAGGACGAGTCCAAGTGCCTCAGGCACCCTCACCCCACCGTCTACCTCTCCTCCGAAGAAACAGCGACAAATATCGACAGACGGAAATGGTTTTCCCCCGGCTTTCGCCCAGAAAATGCCTTCGAACATCTACACCTCAGTGTTGAACACAATCGAACTCGATGAAGCATGCAGTTGAATGAGGCACCGGTGGGATGGGGGAGGAAGAATATACATACAGAGAGTGGATAGAGTCCTCAGGAAGGAGCCTAAGTTGGGAAAGAATCCCAAACAGGGAATAAAAGTTTCTCAAAGTTAAAAAAGAGTGGATAGATTCTAGAAATGTATCGAGTTGACATGCATCACTCATTAGTTGAGGAAAGTTATGGTATTCTTGGACTATAGGGAAAATTTTTTTCATTCGTTTTTCTCCTCGCAACCCGTATTTTTTTAATGCGATGAAATTGAGTGATTTCTTTTCTCGGTTTGTAAATATTCCTCTACTAAACTCATTTTTTTCCGAACGGTGTTTCTAGAATCTGAAAATCTTGTTTAATAAAATAAAAACCCAACATTTTGTTTTGAACTAAAAAATAGTTTTTTTGTGTCCCCAAGAAGACTGAATGGATTTTTTATTTCAGATCAGACCCTTCGATTTGCTCTCATCTTATATCCCCAACCCCTCCCCCCGCCACGACGATTGAACATTAATATTTAAAAAAAATTGAATTTCATTTTTTTTCTCCTTTAAATTGAATTTAATCTCGCTCTCTTGAAAGTTATTACTAAACTGTCCATGAAATTTCAATTGTGATCCTACCAGTCGTTCTAGAATCTAAAATTTTTTTTTTAACAAAAAAATAGTTTTTTCTGTTCCCAAGAGGACAGAATATACTTTTGATTTCAGATCAGACCCTTCGATTTGCTCTCATCTTATATTCCCTCCCCCTCCCCCCGCCACGACAATTGAACATTAATATTTAAAAAAATTTGAATTTCATTTTTTTTCTCCTTTAAATTGAATTTAATCTCGCTCTCTTGAAAGTTATCACTAAACTGTCCATGAAATTTCAATTTCGATCCTACCAGTCGTTCTAGAATCTAAAATTTTTTTTTTAACAAAAAAATAGTTTTTTCTGTTCCCAAGAGGACAGAATATACTTTTGATTTCAGATCAGACCCTTCGATTTGCTCTCCCCCCGCCACGACGATTGAACATTAATATTTTAAAAAATTTGAATTTCATTTTTTTTCTCCTTTAAATTGACTTTAATCTCGCTCTATTGAAAGTGATTACTAAACTGTCCATGAAATTTCAATTTCAATCCTACCAGTCGTTCTAGAATCTAAAATTTTTTTTGAACAAAAAAATAGTTTCTCTCTGTCCCCAAAAGGACAGAATATACTTTTGATTTCAGATCAAACCCTTCGATTTGCTCTCATCTTATATCCCCTTCCCCTCCCCCCGCCACGACGATTAAACATTAATATTTTAAAAAATTTGAATTTCATTTTTTTTCTCCTTTAAATTGAATTTAATCTCGCTCTCTTGAAAGTTATCACTAAACTGTCCATGAAATTTCAATTTCGATCCTACCAGTCGTTCTAGAATCTAAAATTTTTTTTGAACAAAAAAATAGTTTCTCTCTGTCCCCAAAAGGACAGAATATACTTTTGATTTCAGATCAGACCCTTCGGTTTGCTCTCATCTTAAATTCTCTGTCCTCCCCCGCGGCTACCCCTACGCCAATTGAATGCATATCTGTATTCGCCTGTGTCCATATCACTTGACCAGAATCTCGATATCTTGATATTCCTGTGCTGGATACGTCATATTCGCACGCCTGCGTCGAAGGTACGCAAATACGTGCGATCCGCTCTCTCACTTGTTCCTTCCATCCACTCACTCTCCATTCGCTTCAATCCCCCCCTCGCCCTGTCCCGCCGTTCGCCATCCGGAGCTACTGGATGTAAAGGCCGTGTACATTCGGGCAATAGGGTCGAGCCGTTTGCTAGCAATACAAGCACGTTATACAGATATCCAGGTGATATCCGCTGAACGCCCGGAGTCCTTTCACCATTGGGTATCGAAGGGTATTCATGAATGTAGCGGGGAGGGGGGAGGGTGGGAGGGAGTCGATTGAGGGATGGGGTGAGGCATCGAATGCATCGACGCCGGCCACGACACGCCGACTGTATGAAAGAACATTAGACTCTGGACGGGGGATCTCATCTACCACCTCTGTAGGCGTGTATGAAGGACTCGTGTGCTATATTCGGGATGCAAATGTTGATAATATGCGGAGGAGAGCGTCGGGCTCCATTTTGTGTTTCTGCTCTGATGGGCGATAGGGTTGATCAGATGCATTGTTGAAAAAATGAGATTTAATGAACAGTCGAGTAGACTGGTGGAAAAAATTTGAAATTTCAGGGAGAGTCGATTGTACGCAGGTAATTTCCCGGAGAGCGACATTGAATTTAATCTAGGGGGAACATCATGAAATTTGAGATTTCACTGAAAATCAACATTAAATTGGTAAATTTAGAGTAGCAGGAGAACGAGAATTCCCAAAATTTCGTGATTGATTTGGAATTACTTGAATTTTTAATCGAAATATAAATACTCAATGCCAAATTACGCTGAATGTTGGATTAAGAGGAAGTCCAAGAGTATTTTTGCTCAAACTTTTTATTAATTTTGATGGAATCAATGAGCTAAAATTTGAAGTTTCCATTGATTTTTTCATAGATTTCGGAATTTTCCAATCCTTGAAATCCCAGCGGAATAAAAATGTAATAAAAATTTCTAAGAAATGTACCAGAAATTTCAGGAAATAAAATTTTAAGTGTAGTAACTCTCAGGATTTAATACAGTGACATTCAGTTCCATTTGGAAAAAAAATCATAAAATTTCTAATTTCGTAGAAAAAGAATGAATTTCCAGATTTTTCAACTTACTGAAATGTGCAATCAAAAGATAAAGATTCAGTATCAACTTACGTAGAATTTCCAATTCATCGAAAATCCAAGAATATATGTGCTTGCATTTTCTTGATTCCATCGGCTCTTTTCATCAAATTGGGAATTTTTCATGACAATATCTCTTGAAATTTCAGTGAAACTGTAACTTGATAAAAACTTCCTGAAGTGCACCTGAAATGTTGACCAAATTTGGTAAAAGTGTAGTAGTGGAGAAACTTTATTTTCCCGAAGTATTCAACAGAAGTATTCCCTGAAAATCTGAAGAATGCTAAATTCACCCTTCATTAAAAATTTCAGTTGAAAATTTTTCCCTGTGGAATATTTATCCATCGACTTCTCAAAATCGCTGGCTTTTTACATGTGCCTCATGCACTGATGAAAAGATAATGTGATTAACTAAACTAGACAAAAGAGAGTTCAACGTTCTTCGCAATTAATGAATAAATTTTCCCTTTTGAATTTCCTCAATCCAACATTAAAAATCCAGCCGTCAGTCCTCTTACTAGTACCTCAGATATTTCCTCTCGCCGTGCACCTAGTAAATGGCTTCTCACCCGGACGGAGATAATCAT